AACCATCCAAATCCCCGCTTTCAAATATTCATACTCATTCCTGCCCCATACTCACGCGGGGGAGGTTTGCAAACCCATTCTCATACCCGTGGGATTCGGGTACCCATGGGTAATACCCGCCGCCCCGTACATCAAGCATTATAAAACTAAAATTTTACATGTAAATTTTTAATTATAACATTAAACGCACCTACTATATCATGAAGTCGACAAAGAGACAATAATTTTTAATACGGTTGATAGTATCATATCCTAAAACATTAGGGGTGGCTATTTGGACCGGGACCGGATTAAAAACCGGAAACCGGACTGTATAACCCGGACCGAGACCGGACCGGGACCGGATAGTAAACAATCCAATCCAATCTTTGGGCTTAGATTTGAGGTAAAAAACCGGATAAAGACCGGATAAGAGAGCTCAACACCCAAAAAGAGTAATTTGCATAAACGGTCACAAACCTTTGCACTTAGTACAAAACTTAACCAACTCCTCACCCTTTAAGGCCTTAGGCCACTCAAATCCCACAATCTCAATGTAAAATCAAGACCGAATTGGGACCGGACCGGATCAAAACCGGACCGGATCAAGACCGGACTGTATCCAATCCAATCTTCGGTCCTTATATTTTCAAAAAGACCAGACTGGACCGGATCAATTTGGGCCAATTTAACCGGACCGGACCGTATAGCCACCCCTATAAAACATCCATTAATCCTAAGAAAGAGAACAATTTAATTCAAATCATTATTCTCCGACTCTGATACGTCTACAAAGTAATAACTAACTAACATAATCTTGGGGATTTTGTTTTGGGGAAAATGGAAGAGAAAGAAAGAAGGTTTTGGGATTTGGTTTTGGTTCTTATTCATCTTGATTTGATGGAAACAATGAACATATAGGGGGAAGGAGATGCGTAGAGGAAAATGTAGAGGTGCAGAGCTTCATTGCTTCCATCTTGGAAAAGGTAATTATGGGTAGGGGAAGGGTCTGGTTATGGATTGAGAGGGGTGGGTCGGGGAAACGGCGGGTCAGAATTCAATATTTTAGGGTAAAAAGTTGCTGATTAGGCCATTCTGTTTGCTACATCAACACATAATGGACTTAGTTAATAGAGTTGGACGAAGACTAAACAAGAGTGACCAACATGGACTGTTTCAGTAATTTGAATGACCAAAATTATATTAATTTTTTCCAGTCACTCTGATACATTTTAATCAACCCAATAACCAAACTTGGCATTTACCCCATTTTACTTTATTACCCATCTGATGCCAATTCCTACCATCCCAATTCCAACATCTCTAAGGTGTCATCCACCTCTCAGTCTCACACACGAGCACCTCTTTTTGGTCAATGGAGGAGAAACACCTATTTGTGTTGCAACACCAATAGCCAATGGCTAAACAGCATCTATTAGAATAGAATTACTTGGCGTGCACAAACTGGAGATTTTGGTATATAAAACTGGCAACTTCATATGCTGTCATCAAATCCAGCGTTTGAAATTACAAGACTAATAAAGAAAGGCACACTTCCTTACGCCACCCTCTGTACCCTCCTGATATTAACCATGATTTCATTGCTGGCCCCTACTTTATTTGAATTTTGCAATTTCGTACAAGTAATTAGGGTATCTTATTAACGCGGCAAACCCCCAATTGACATTCTATTATATTATATCCCCATTCGTCCAAGAAAGAAAAAAAAAAGGCTAGACGTGTACATGCGAATTACCATTTCGTCCCCACGCCACACATGCACCGGCGAACGCGCAAACCTACCGGCTTAAGCCTCGCCGACTATATCTATCGATACATTAGTAAATACACTAGTGTGGGAAACTAATTTCCTAATATTGGTAAGTCATTATTATATGATGCAGCCCCAGCCATCGTTCTAATCTACTGGCCACAGGCAACATTCACAGGAGCCAACTGGTGTCTGGTCATGTGATCAACAAGATGATCACTCAACCAGTACGATCCAGTAACGGTTGAAAGTTGAAACAACGAAATATGAACTCGATATGATCCATTTAACTCGTTTTTTTTTATCGACAGTCGGTAATAATTATTTTCATACAATATCAAAATAATATTGAGAGCGATGTATGACTCTTCTGTCATCGTCTTATTTGCCGATATTTGCTGTATTTATTTACTTATTCATATTTGACATTTTCATTTTTTTTACTTTCAGTTAGTTGTAGTTTAGCTTTCATGTTGTTACATCTTCAGTTTAAATTAACCACCATTTTGTGGATATTTTGACTCTATTACTCATATTGCATTATCTCTTCCTTTTACTAACTGTTTGTAACGGTTACATATACTTCTTTACCGTTTTATCCAAAATTAAAAATACATATCCATGAAGAAAAAACATAAATTAATAATGTTTTTCTTTGAAATGAATAATAAAAATGATATATCACAAACCATATTCCAAGTTTGATTTATTCAACATAGGGTAAAGGGAGCGAATATGGTACAAAATATTATTCTATTTTTTTTTTTATTAAGAGGAGGCCTTAAAGCCGGAAGGAAAGAAAAAAGTCAGGGGGGAAACAAGTTCGCCCCTTTACAAAACCTGAACTAAAAACAGCAAACAATAGGACAACTAGACACAGGGATAACCTATTCATACACCGAGAACCTGTTGCTATCAATCAAAACCTGTTTTGGGAAATTAACCCCCAAAATGTCTTCTCGAAGGATCCTCTCTAAGTCAGTAGGAAGTTCGTTTAGTTCATATGTTGCGAAGGGATAGACGAGACTGTGCTTCGAGAGCCAGTCCGCGACTCTATTTTCCTCACAACACGTATGAATTAACCGAACTATCCAGCTCTAAGCGATCAATCTGCGAATCGCATTTAGCAAAGTAGAGTGGGGGTGCACCTGATCAGTTCTATTATTAATCAACTCGACCGCTAGCTGGGAACCTATTTCAATAATGAAGCACTGGACACTCTTTTTCCAAGCTAACTCCACTCCATGATGAATCCCCCATAGCTCCGCCAGAATAGCAGAACCCGCACCTATTTTGCAGCAGAAACCCCCTAACCAGTCTCCATCCTTATCCCTGAGACATCCTCCTGTCGTCATCATTTTTGAGCTTCCCTGAGCGGTGCCATCCGTGTTGAGTTTGATCCATCCTGCCGGCACGAAGCCCACTCACCCACCCAATCAGTCATTCTTCTCTTCTTGTAGTAGACAAAGGCTTTTAGCTTCAACCGCCTTTCTCCATGTTTTGGTCCGATCCTTAGCTTTTGAGATGATATAATTGATGAGCTTAGGATTTGATAATCAGAACAGTTTGACAATGTAGTCATTCCTAGGTTTCCAAATGTGCCAGCAGATGAGAGAGAGAAAAGAAGCTTGACATTTTCCTGTGTCTTCTCTAGACTCTTCTGTTTCAATATTCTTCTGTAGCCAAACTTCTAGGGGCATAGTAAAGAAAATATGTTGTTGCTACTGAGGAACAATTATTTCCCAGATTCTTCTTATGTTCCGGCAATCTCGCAAGCAGTAAATGTTGGTTTCCTTGTCTGTGCGCAGAGTGGGCACTTTTCATATGTGGTGAGGTGTCTAATTTTCTTGATGTTATTGCTCGTCAGTCATCCTCTCGCTACTCTTCGAAAGAATAGGCGGACATGTTCTGGTACCTGCAACCTCCAAATCTTTTTCCATGAAGTAGAGGTTTGGCGGACATTTTGCGGCTCCCCCAATTTGTATGCTGAAGCCGTACTGAACTCGCCATTTGCTGAAGATTTCCAGTACAATTGGTCCTCAGTAGTCGAGATCGGATCCAACATGACTGATTAAATCTTGTTCATCAATCTTCTAGCCATTTGCATCGTCCTAGTAGTCTATCACTTTCCTCTGTTGCGCCTCTACAGGAATGTTTGTGGTAGCAAGCTTGATCAAAGGTTCCTGCAAAACCCACAAGTCAAACCAGAAGTTAGTCTTCTTCCCATTCTTGACATTTAGAGCTTCCCCTTTGCTAATAAGATTAGCAGCTTGGGTGAAGCTTTTCCAAGCAAAATTGTAATTAGAGTCATCTATTAAAATCTCATCCGAAGGTCTACAAGTCTACAACTCATATAAGGATAAAGAGGGATAGACTGGCAATTTCCATGTCGCTCTGTCTTTTTTGTTTTGTTTTCTTTGACTGACATGAAATTCAGAGTAGACTTTTGAAAAGTTAAATTCTATTTTTTATAATCTCTCATTTTTGTTAATCAAGTCCTATTTTTTTCGTTTTGTCTCAAAATTTATAAATTTGTACATTGAAATAATGATATTACAATATTTATATATACAATAATATTCGTTTTGTTATATTTTGAGAAACAAATCCATTCAAATACGTTTTTATTGTAATATTATTACAATGATATAACAGTGGTATAATTATATGCATATGTTTGGCTCGAATTTTTAGAAGTGTTTTTCGACTTAAAAAACTGAAGAAGTGCCAAACACTTCTAAAAAGCCGAAACCTCTCATATTAAGAAGCACTTCTAATAGTTTTTCAGCCAAACACTCAACTGTTTTTTTTTAATACTTCTCTAAAAACTCCAGCCAAAAGCTGCTTTCGCAAAACCTACGGCAGAGTCACTACATTTAAGCTTAAAACTCAAAAGTAAAATAAAAAAAATCCATAAAAACTCGTTAATTATAATCTACACAATATATTTTGGGAGTTGCTAATTGTCGCCCTAGATTTTACCATAATCGCCCTAACTTAAAACCTAAAATGACCGTTCCCGTTGATTGTTAAAAAAAATTGGCTGTTACAAGTAGAGTTGGACATATACTTGATTAACAAACAAATCATATTTTAATAACAAACACACCAATTAGCCATCCTCCCCTGTTTTCGCTTTCTCCGCTCTTATCACCACAGCCGCAATCAATCCAAATCTCTCTATTAATCGTCGTCGGCGACTCGGATTCTCCAGAATTTCAGTCCATAACTCCTTCCCTCTTTCCCCACTTCAGCTCACCTTTACGGACCTTCTCTGTTCTTCCATCACAGCGGCATTTAAGGGATTGTACAGTAGCTGCCATCTATGTTCGCTGCCGACATCACCGTTCTTGATAAGTTTCGCAAGAGTAAGGTATACAGAGAACTTGACGCACACAAAATAAGCAGCCAGCAAAGAAGGAAAGACTAATGTAAGAAGCTTTACTAAATAGACGCTGCGAGACGAACCAAGGAGGAGACGGCGCCTATAGAAATTGCTGTAGAGCGATCGCCACATCTTTTCTCTACAGCGGCCGGCTGATTAGAATACCCCTCTTATGCTAGCTTATAGGATATTATATTGTAAGGCTTTTTACCCAGTTTTGTTGCGGTGAAGTGGTTTCTGCCGCCGTCGTGGAGGAAGGCGAGGAGGTGCTTCCGGAGTTCATGGATCGTGATTAGATGGTGTATGGGAGATAAATTCGCAGTCGTAGTTTCCGATGGCGGAGGTGGTTTGGCGGCGGAGATACTTTTGACGGCGATGTGACTTTACTGCAAACTGGGATCTGTTTTTTTCGGCTCTGCCTCATCGGATCGACGACCTGTAATTCCTCGAATATGAATTGTTTGTTTTGTCAATTTTTATTTAATTCTTTAAGGTTATTTAAGTAATTTATATTTTAAGCTAGGGCGATAAAGTTGAATTAGGGCGAGGTTTAGCCATCCAGTATATTTTTTATATCCAATGTCAAATGAATGAAAAAATTATCAGTTGAACATTCGTAGGAAATTTAAAAAATGATTTAACTGTCACAAAAGCATAAACAATTAATTTTGATTCTGTCTTTATATAAAAGAACGAATTTTATATTGAAATCTTGACTTAGTGTAAATTGACCACGTACAGAGATAATTATCGAGATATCCTACCAACGAAGAGAAGTCATCGCACATTCACACTCATCTGTATATACGAGCACTTCTACTATGCTATATATATAGTATTGGTGCTTTAATGTACAACTTAAAGTTGTATCATAATATTAAATATATAAGTTTAGGTTGTACCATAAAGCAATTTGTATCATTATGTTATGGTACAACTTTACAACTTGAAGTTGTACCATCACATAAAGGTACAAGTTCAAGTTGTACAATAAAAGAATTTGTACAAAAAGTATAGGTACAATATGAAGTTGTACCATAACGTAAATGTACAATTTTAAATTATACCATAAAAGCAAAAACTTATATAAAATTTCTCCTGTATATACATGTTCTTAGGTAATCAATCAATCAATTAGTAGTTTTAAAAACCAATGAATTAATTGATTTTCACTTCATATTAATTTATACCCTTTCTTTCTTTCTTTCAGTCTTTCTATTCTGTTCCATTTACGCCTGACGACTTATCACGTAGTCCCTTCTTCCTTCTATTCCACCGCCACAGATCTTTCTCTCTCTCCCTCCCTCTCCCTCGTCTCTGTTTGTCTCCTGAGAATGTAAGTGAAAGGGAGAGTGGGGAAAAAAAAATAAAAAAATCAAAGCCCTCCCCAAATAGGAAATCCTCTCTCAGCTTTTTCTCTCTCGTCGTCCATGGCGAAGCAGCACAGTCGTAGCTTAGTAACAGCAGCAGTACTAGACTAGTACCCACCATTGTCTCAAAAACTCTCTTCCTCTCTTTCTTTCCCAATCATTTCCCCGTTGATTCCGAGATCTCAACTCCCGCCGATAACCTCTAATTGATTCCGCGTTGATCGACCAACGAATGGATCTTGGGGATGAGCATCCGTTTCTTTCCTAAGTACGCGCCGTCGTAGACAGAACGATCGTCTCCATCAGTCTCTTTTCCCAGACGTACGTGCGATTGCCGGCGGCGCAGAGCACAGATATCGAGACTAATTCTTCAGGCAACATTCACTAGCCGACGGAACACGATCGAATTAGCCGGTCCGTTTAGCTGGAACTTTCGCCGGTAACTTTCTCTCTCTAACTTTCTTTTTTAGGTTGAAGGGAAATTTGGAAAGTTGTTATCAATCACGGAGAAAGAAGCTTTTTGTTTCCACTGAAAAGGAAAAATCCCCCAATCAACCAGTTGGAGGGGGGTTTTCTTGGAAACCGCCATGGAAGCTTCTCTCGGATCCAGCCACTCATTAAACATAGTTTAATTATTCTAATCAACCTGTTTAATCAATCATATCATATCGACTTTAATTAATTAACCGTGTCCCATCCCAATGCTTCTTCTAATTTACATATTTCCGCTTTCCAATCGATCTTTTTTCTTCAGAAAGGAAGAAGAAAGAGAGAAATTAAAGATGTCGTCGTCGCAGAGCTCGCCGTGCGCGGCGTGCAAGTTCCTGCGGCGGAAGTGCACGGCGGAGTGCGTGTTCGCCCCCTACTTCCCGCCGGACCAGCCGGCCAAGTTCGCGAGCGTCCACCGCGTCTTCGGGGCCAGCAACGTCGCCAAGCTGCTCAACGAGATCCCCGCCGCCCAGCGCGACGACGCCGTCAATTCCCTCGCCTACGAGGCAGAGGCCCGCCTCAACGACCCTGTCTACGGCTGCGTCGGCTTCATCTCCCAGCTCCAGCACCGCCTCAAGCAGCTCCACTTGGATCTCCACCTCGCCAGGCAGGAGCTCGCCAAGTACGTCGGCCCTCAGGCCTTGCTCGTCCCCTCCCCCAATTTCGGCGTCCCACATTATCCCGGAAACCCCTCTTCTTCGACCCTCATGATTTCGCTGCAGCAGCGGCAGCAGATAAACAGTTACCCGAAGATGGGTATTCCGACCGGGTCGGGTCTACCCGTTATGATCCGGGAAAATAGTACCCAGCAACAGCAGCACCAACAACAATTTCATCACCGGCTTCAACTGCAGGAGGCGGCACAGCAGCAGGAAATGTTGAGGGCTTATAATGATCAACAGCAGCAGCAGCAGAGGCAGTTTCAGCAGCAGGAGGTAATCAGGTTGATGGATGGTGGTGTTACAGCGACTGGGTTCAATGAGATTACTAGCAGCCCATCAATGGGTGTCTCGACGCCATCATCCTCATCCCTAGCTCTAGGGGAGATTGATCATGATAGAGCGTACCAAGGGCAGCAGGTTCAAAGGCCCATGGTGGAGCTTAAGCCACAGCTGTTTCTTCAACAGCAACATCATCTGCAGAAAGAGCAGCAGCAGGAGGGGAGCACAGGGCCGTCAGGTTGATGATGTTGAACTTTCAGAGACAGGGTTTGCTTTGTTTAGTCTGGCTGAGATACTGTGATAGAAGAGAGATGTGCATAGTTTCTGTTCTTGGTGAGCATGACTCTCAGCTTTCTTTCTTTTTGTCTCTCAGCATACACACACACACAGAAATGTTAACATTAATGGAGGGGAGATAGCTACTAGCTGGCATTGGGTTGATGGGTAATTGATACTTGGGTTGAGGGGTTATTCATGAATGGAGGGTTGAGGGAAGTGGAAAGGCAGCATTAACTCCATACTGCATAAAGGAAGGAGGAGTTGGTACAAGAGTTATTGTTATTTGTCTTTTCTACAGTGATCAGGGAATATGCTTTTCCCCTCTTTCTTACACAATCCATCTCCTTCAGTCACTTTCATGGAGGGTTTTTTTCTTCATTTTCTGCTACCTTTCCAGTAGTACTATTCCTAGGGATCTATCTATCTCTAGTTCTCTACCTAATATACTTAGCCATATGCAAAATTTGGCTACAATCTCCAACATTCTTGACATTGCCATATTTGAGACCAATTTTTACTTGCTGTATGTCTATGGGCTGTAAAGGCCGGAAGGGAAGGTCTAGATCAGCTGTAGCTAGTTGGTGGTTAGGGTTTGTAGATCTCTTGTTGTTTAATGTTTTTGGCATTGTAGCTTTGTTGGGATGGGCACATTTAATGAGAGGATGCAATATAATTTGTGGGTTGTTGTGGTATATTATTCAATTAAGAAGCCCATGATCTTGACTGTTCATGGAGAGGGGAAAAAGGGCAGGATCTTGACTGATTTAAGAGGGTGTTGGACTTTGCATATGATTCATCTCTACCTAATGAATTTATATATGCCCTGTTAAACTTTACTGCTGCTGCTGCTGTTGTTTCTTTTCTATTTTTCTCGTCGTTTGGTTGGTTACTCTTTTCTTGCAGTGGAAAAGCATGCAGTAAGAGACAGTTGACCTAGAGCTGGCTACAGTTTGAGAGAGATGAGAACTTGTGCAGACTTTCCCATCGAAGATAACCTTTCCACAAATTTCTTGTATGATAGGATTAAATATACTGCATTCGATGATCAAGTATACAGCCTTTTGTTACTATTCCTGTGTTGTGAAGAGAAGAAATAGTCCCTTTCTAGTTTTTTTTTTCTTCCATATTACAAAATACAAAGCGTGTGTATATTAATGGTTGTTGAATCAGATGGAGGTATGAGAAGCTGGGGCTCGCAAATCAAGAAAAATAATTATTAGGTTAATGGCAGTTGTTGATGGTTTTCATTAGTTTAACTAATGGGATGAGTCAACCCAATGGTAAGTTACGATGATGAGTTGTTATATTTGGTGAGTCAACTCTCGATGGTAAATGTATGTCGGCAGAGAATATTATTATATAAGGTGTAGTTTGGTTGTGGGATTTGAGTGATGTATTTGACATTCAAATACGAAGCATTACGTATATAATATAAAAACATTGTTTGTTGAGGTATACAAATTCATGGAGCTTACAGATTTGCCCATCCTTTTTAGCCCCAAATCCATGAACCTCACCTATTTGCAAATACCACATTTCATTTGGTATTTGGTCATTGAATGCAAGGAGTTGAGACCCATGGTACAAAAATCTTTAAATCCATTATCAAAATCAACTAAACAAACAATATTATCTTTCAAATACCAAATGAAACAAATTCATCAAAAATCCAAAGATTCTCAAAACTAAAAACCTTCGTTTTCAAATCCAACAAGCAAATGAGCCTTAATAAATTCGAATGTAAGACTTTCACGGTTCAAAACTAGTTGTATTACCACTATACCAAGTCTTGATAGTATTTGATTACTTCGGGAGATTAATATTTCTGTAGTATGCATTTTAGGTAGTATTGTGTGAGGCGTATTTGTAGGTTCAATGTATTTGCAAAGTAGAATGTAAATGGTAGCGGGAAAAAAAAATTGAGACTCATTTTACCAAATTGTGATTGTCTAAATACCTCATGTATTTGAGATTGCATATACCTTAATACAATAATAAATAAATTTTTTTTATTAAATGGATGCAACTGCACCCTACCTTTCATTCATAATCACCCGGGGTTCGGAGATCCCCTGAACATCATACAAGATCCAGTTATACAGGATAGGGTCTGAGATCCGAAACAAATGAACACCTAAAGGTGCATGGTGACCTCTACTAGCAAGATACTCGGAACTCTTATTGCCTTCTCTATAAATGTGGGTGATTTCAACTGCCCACTGTCTCTGAAGCAGCTCAGTAGCTCTATCGATGATGGCTGCATGGTGATGCTCCGAAGAGTCTGAACTCCGTAGCAGCTGTATCGCACAAGCGGAGTCCAGCTCAAGTCTGACATGTCTATATCCAGCATCCCAAGCCAACTCTGCCCGGGTGATAGAGCACATCCCCAGGTTCATCAAAAATGCCTGAAGGCACCTGCCCGTATGATCTCTTAACAGGCCACCAGCTGCGGCGTGACCTATCTTGTGCGACGGAGCCGTCTGTGTTGAGGGTGACCCACTCAGGAGGTGGTGGCTTCCACGAGATCTCCACCTCTGTTCTAGCGGGCGGATTAGGCGTATGAAGAAGCCTATCCTTGTCCAAAGCGTTTCTCACGACAGTTATCCAAATCTGGACGCGCTGTAGAAATCCTTCAGTTGTCACAATCTTGCCTGCAAAGACTCGATCGTTCCTGGTCTTCCAAAGAGACCAGCAGATAAGACCAAAGCTGAGGCCAGTATGCTCGGCCTTGAGGTTCTTTTCAATCCAATCCTGCAAACTGTCTCCAAAAAAGTGGTGATAATCAGAAGGTGGGATTAGCTTCATCCAAGTTAACCTGGCAAAAGGACAATCCCGCAACACATGCAGGACTGTCTCTTGTTCTCCATTGCAGCTCCCGCACTGGTTTCGTGACGTCAGTTTCCTCCGCTCCCGTTCAGTGTTGGTGAGTAGACGCTCGCGCGCAGCTAGCCAGAGAAAATGCCGCACTCTTTCCGGACCCGCCCAGCTCCAGATTGCCTTCCACCGCGTCTTGCTGCTGCTTTCCTCTAGACTCACGCAAATACATAGACTCATACACACTAGTCAATGTCGAAGTCTGAATTTAGAGTGAGGAAGAGCAGAAAAGACAAATGACTATAATTTCTCACAATTGAACCTAGATCTTGAAGAAGGGGCTAATAACCTTAAATAAAAAATTTATAACGGTAGATAAAAAAAATTAGGGATTGATCGACGCTCTAGTTATAGGTGTCTTAAAGCTCTCCGGTTTTCTCGGAGTCCGGAAATCGCCAGCGATTAGGGTTTCTCGCTCGGCTACCTAATGGCGACAGCAAGCTCGCCAACCTTACTGAATCTCTCACCGGAAGAGACCAAACCACCGGATGGGACAGGAAGTTTACGAAGACCACCGGAAGTCTCTTCGTCACCTAACGGAAAGAAGGATCGGGAGACCCAACAAGCGAAGAAGAGGGTTCGACCCCTGAACCTACAGATGGAAGATGGACAGCAGCATGATGTGGTGATCGAGGATATCACAGAGGAGGAGTTGCGAAGAGAATCTGACCCCATCATACAGAGCCATCGCAAGCCTCGCAACAAAATCATGCACCCCCGCAAACCAAACCTATGGCTTGGGGATAGGGACGGAAGAAACTGTTCAGCGTGGCGGTTCGGGAAGAAACATGGTATGTAGAGACGTTGGACTCCGACGAAGCAGTAGAGGACATGAGAGAAGCTTCTAACCTAGATGAGAATGCTGAGGAAGATCCCCGCTGTCCTACTGTCTATTTCTCGCCTGAAGAGTGGAAGAACTATAGGCGTGAATGGAGATCGGCTCTGATGGTCAAGGTCCTAGGACATTCGTATTCATACCCAATCATGGCAAGGAGGCTGAACATGCTATGGGAAAAGAATGGTACGATTCAGATCACAAATCTACCAAGTGGATACTACTTTGTCAGATTCACGAATAAGTTGGACTATGAGCTTGCCCTCACTGGAGGCCGTTGGTTGATCGGTGATCATTACATCACGATTCAAAAGTGGGAAAAGGGATTCAATCCAAGGACCTGCAACATTGACTCCACGACGGTTTGGATTCAACTCCCGGACTTACCCATCGAATTATACAATCTTGAAGCAGTCCTGCGAATAGCAAAGAGGGAGGGGTCACCAATACGGGTGGACAGAGCGACCGAATTAGGGGCCAGAGGTATTTTTGCCAGAGCATGCATCGAGGTTGACCTTACAAGGCCGTTACTTTCAAAATACAAGGTGGAGGGAATAGAGTATGAGATCAAATATGAAGGACTCGACAACATTTGCTTTGAATGCGGGACATATGGACACTCTAAAGCACGGTGTCCCACGATTCACTCTCATGAGAATCCGACTAACGAAGCAAATCAGCAGGCCCCTCACTTATCGTCAAAACATACGGAACCATATGGGGAGTGGATGATTGCTAAAAGGAGAGAGCGTCGACCAAATGAGAGGGTGGAGGTAGGACAGGGAGGAGACCCAGACCCAGAGAGGAGAAATGTGAAGGAAACTACTACCCACTCAGGAGACCCGCCCTTACCCAAAAAGTAATCACGTCGTATCCACCCCGAAAACCCAGCAGGTGTGGGTTGAGAAACAACACCCAAGACCTGATACCCCTCATCGAGAAGGCAATAAAAGGGAGGATCCAAACAAGCTTCCCACTCCAGGGACAAGGCCGGTTTCCTCGACAACTAATGAACACAGGTTTTCCGTGACCAATCTAGCAACCCAAAATCGCCCCGATGAACCAATGATAATTACCAATCAAGTGAAGCAGTGGATGGATTTCAATCATGAAGGGCGGAAGGTTTTTCAGAATGCGGAGAATGGGGAGGTGCAATCAGACATGCAGGCCATGCAAACCTCGACCCATACGCTGGAAAGCAATATGATAGCGTGGACTCAAGATCAATGGTGGAGAATATGGCTGTGGGTAGCATCCCAGAGGGGGTGCACCCAGCCACCTCCTAAGAAAACCTATTGATCCCTACCTTTCCCAACGGATAGATGGACCTGAAAATTTTCACGTGAAATTGTAGGGGTGCGGGAAGCGATCGCTTCCTACGAGTATTCGAAGAATACATGAGGAAATATCGGCCACATTGTCGTCATTGTCGAACCAAGGATTAGTGGGGCTACTGCAACTCAGATTATTAACCAAATGGGGATGGATAAATCACTAGTGGTGGATGTAGATGGATTCTCGGGTGGTATATGGCTTTTGTGGGAGGATTTGGTGGTTCAAATTACTGAAAAGGACCGTACACCAAATGCTCCATGTCCAAGTCCAGCTGGGGATAGTCCATTTTTGTTTACGATAGTGTATGGCCATCCGGCCTTGATCCAACGACGCGGGTTATGGGAATCCCTTCGCTCGACGGCGGAGGAGGTTGACATGGCATGGCTACTAGCGGGAGACTTTAAGTCGATGTTGAGCTCTTCCGAGAAGTTTGGGGGAGTGCCCTTTGATGCTAGCAGAGTAAGAGAGTTTCAAGATTGCTTGTTAGATACAGGCTTAGTTGACTTGGAGTTCGTTGGGTTACCCTTTACTTGGTTTCATGGGGGAACCAAGGAGCGCCTTGACCGTGGATTAGCAGACCTAGACTGGACTACCCAGTTTCCGGATACAACAGTAAGACATCTTCTGCGAGTCAGGTCGGACCACAGGCCTCTGCTGATTCGTACTTGCCCGGAGTTACCTTCGCCAGGTCCCAGACCGTTCAAATTCCTGGCTTCTTGGCTGACTCACCAAGAATTCCCCGAGGTGCTGAAGAAATCTTGGGCAAAGGGGTCTGATTTAATAAGCAGCGCCCGAGCCTTTTCAAGGGATGCGGCCCATTGAAATATACATACTTTTGGGCATATACTGCGTCGAAAAGACAACTTGATGTGGAGAATCGAAAATCTTGAAGAACAGTGGGGTGGAGATTCAGACCACGACCATCTCCCTGAACTTCGCTCGGAATTGGAAGATGTATTAATCCAAGAAGAAATCTTGTGGCGGCAGAAGTCACGAGCTGATTGGCTGAAATGGGGCGATCTAAACACAAGGTACTTCCATGCCCGCACAATCAGAAGACGCAAAAGGAATCGAATCGTGACCCTGAAGAATACCCAAGGCGAATGGGTGGAAGACCAAAATATCCTAAGCCAAATGGCTATAGACTACTATATTGGCTTGTTTAATTTACTGACGATGGCTCACCTTCTTCTGTCATGCATCACAAATTTCCGCATATGCAGATGTCGCAGTGGGGAGAGCTTGGAAAAGAGTTTTCAATTGAAGAGCTTAAAGCGGCAGTCTCAATGATGGGTCCTCTTAAGGCGCCGGGGCATGATGGGCTGAACCCAATGTTCTTCCAACGATTTTGGGATGTTGTAGCTCCAGCGGTACACGACTTTGCGAGTAGATGCTGGGACGAGCCACAGAAAATAAAAGAAGTGAATGAAACAATTCTGGTCATCATTCCAAAAGTTAAAAGACCCGTTCAGATCGAGCAATTTCAGCCAATAAGTCTTTGCAATGTTGGCTATAAGATCCTTACAAAGTGCTTAGCAGAGCGACTGAAGCCTTTCATGCTCGACCTGGTGCATGAGACTCAGATGAGTTTCGTACCAGGAAGACATATTACTTACAACATATGTGTTTTGCAGGAAGTGGTTCACTCTATGAGGGCTAAAAAGGGACGAGCTGGGTGAATGGTGATAAAGTTGGATCTTGCCAAGGCCTGTGATCGGATCAGATGGGAATTTGTGCGAGATACCCTTGCGGCTGCAGGCTTTCCGGACAAGTTCATAGAGCTGACTTTGAAATGCATCTATACGGCTAGAATGTGTATCCAGTGGAATGGTGGCCTGACGGAGGAATTTTCACCTTCCCGGGGGTTGAGAAAGGGATGCCCTCTCTCTCCGTATATATTCACCCTGTGCATGGAGAGATTGGGGCACTTGATCCAAGATGCAGTAGAGGAGGGCAGCTGGCAACCGATCAGGCTTTCCAGCTCAGGTCCGGCACTATCACACTTATTCTTCGCTGATGATCTCATACTATTCGGTGTGGCTTCTGATGCGTAGGTTCAGGTCATAAACCATATATTTGAAGTCTTTGGGAATGCATCAGACCAACAGATCAGCCCTCGAAAAGTGTGACCACGGCGCTGCAGGATTCACTGTGTAGCAGCCTGGGCATTCCGCAGACATCCAATCTCGGGCTCTACCTGGGGATCCCGGTCATCCACGATAGAGTGTCAAGGACAACTTTCGAGGAGTTGATCGATAAAATTGATGCTAGGTTGGCCGGGTGGAATGCCTCGTCTCTCTCTTTAGCAGGGCGTATCACAATGGCACAATCCGTGGTAGCCTCGCTCCCCGCTTACATGATGCAGACAACCCTACTCCCAGCCAGCGTTCTAGAGTACATTGACAAGAAGATTCGAGCTTTTATCTGGGGCAGCTCGGAGGCAGGACGGAAGGTCCATCTATTGGACTGGCAGACCTTGTATAGGCCGAAAGAAGAAGGAGGACTCGGGATGCGTGATGCGAGAACTTTGAATGATGCATTTATGATGAAAATAGCATGGCGCCTAATGAAAGAGCCTAATAGCTTATGGGCAAGGGTGATCAGAAGTAAGTATCTCCGCACGGCTGGAGAGTCACTCATCCCAAGAACATCGGGGCGACTCTCAAACCTTTGGAGGGGTGTCTTGAGGGTAATTCATCAGGTCCCAGAAGCCCTCTAGTGGAATGTGGGTAATGGGAGATCAGCCAAGTTTTGGACAGATAGATGGCTTACGGATGGCCCTACCCTCGCGGAACAGGCAACAAACTTACCTCAGGAGGCACTTTCCCTAACCATGGCCGAGCTGATACTTAATGGGGAATGGAACTTGAATTACATTCGAGCTTTCCTACCATCTAGTGTGGTCGAGCAGATCCAAATTCATGGAGTGCCCCAGGAAACGGGCGACGATGAGCCTCTATGGCGCTTCACATCGAATGGAGAATTCTCACTGAAGACAGCATATGAGTTCCTCGCCGTTGATAGCCTGCAAACGAATTTTCACCCTCTTTGGAGAACGGTCTGGAAGGTCCCAGCAATGCAGCGAGTCGGGACCTTTTTATGGTTGGCAATCCATGGGAGACTATTGACCAATGCTGAGCGGAAACGGCGCCATTTGACAGATTCAGATAAATGCCGGATCTGCGGGGGCGATGATGAATCGATGATCCATGTGGTAAGGAACTGCTCATTTGCTTGGGAGATTTGGTCTGCGTTTCTATTGAATGAACATGATGATGTCTTCAGACGGACTCCCGGGCGGCTATTGATCTGGTTGATTCGGCCACCATGCATGTCACATCCCCACTACCGACTGGTGCTTCAGGTGCGTCAGATGTTGCAACAGAGTTGGGAGGTTCGGGTGGAGCACACTTCTAAGGGCAATGTCGTAGCGGATTTTCTGGCATCGACGGGGCATTCCTTGCCGCTGGGGTTGCACCTGATCTCTACCCCTAGCCCTCAACTTCACTACTGGCTCTTCTTTGACCTTGTTGGGAGTCAACTCCCAGGCTTATTCCTTCTTAATCTTGGGCGACTAGCGCCCTCTTTGTACCAAAAAAAAAAATAGGGATTGTAACTTGTAGCTCCACCAATGAACCTAATCATAATGATTTACATCTGCCTAGTATAATAATCTCTTGCTGCTTGCTGCAGTGAAGCAAATTGCTAATACTATTCAATATCGTACAGTCTTGACTCATCTCCCTATGTATCCATTTTTTTTATTTTTTTGGAAAGTTTGATGTGAGATTAGGAAACCTTAATACCTTATCTTACGGGGAGATTATAGTATAAAATACGATGCAAAGCAAATGGTGGTAAAATACAAATATTCGGCTTATTAATTGATTAATTAATTAATTAACAACTAAATCCTCATCCCTATGCCATCTGAGTTGTATTGTAGAATATATGATTTAGATCAAAGCAATTTGATTATTGTTAAAAAATAACTAACACACATTTCTCAAAATATGCATGCACGCAGCCACTAGTGAAACCGATGCCTTTGCCTTCATGAGAAGACATCAAAAGGGGCTCGCAGCTCTGAAAACCTCATCAGTTTATTTTTTGCGAGCCATGCAAGTTGTAGGGTAGAGGCTTGAAATGGAGCTCTGAAAACGAAGCAATACTTGAAAATTGGATTTGTGTTCTTTTCTGATATTGGTACTAAGGAAATTATGTTACTAAAGAGAAAATAAGAGATACTTAGACAAACCGCCTTCGCCTAAATACAGGTAAAACTAGGGATGTCAATGAGTTGAGTTGGGGCGGGTTATGTCAAACCCAAATCAATTGGTTTATCCACCAAAAAAATTCCAGGGTAAAACTAATAGGATTTGGAAAACTCAAACCCAACCGAACCCGATAGGTATCCGCGGGTTCATGGGTTCATGTACAAAGATGCAATTACACTAGTTTCACTACTATTGTATACTACATACACACTTACTCACAAATCATTCATAATAATTGTTCAATATTAAAGATAAACATCCAGAAATAATATGATTAATTGAACGTGTGAGGAATTAGTTTAGAAATTACAGTTAATTAGTTAAGGGTTCTGTGGGTCGTGGGAGGTATGGACTTGGGTGCAGGTATTCACGGGTTGGATATGGCTAAACCCAAACCAAACCCAAAAAAATGTATGGCGGGTTTAAACCCGAACCCGGTCTGCAATATGTTAAAAGCGGGTTTTACTGTCATCCCTAGGTAAAACATGCAAATGATAGCTAAATGAATTCATGACAATTATAGTGCAGAGATCCAGGGACGGAGCCAGCATTTGAAAATAGGGGGGGGGGGCAAAAATAAAAGATTTAAACTAAATTACCAATATTTTTTCAATAGTACACGATGCTCTTTAAGATATTTGAAATCACTCAAAATAGCGTCTAAACTAAAAGTTTCTGCAATGTCTCGTTCGATAAAAATAATTAAGTTATCACCTAGAAAATCGTCATTCATCTTGTTCCGCAGCCTGCTCTTCACTATCTTCATAGCTGAAAATGCACGTTCACCTGTGGCAGTTGAAACTGGAAGAATCAAAATGAGACGAATCAATCTATCAACAAGATTAAATTCCTTTGACTTTCTCGTCTCTGCTAAACCATGACACAATTCAGCAACTGATGATAGATTCTGGAGTTCAGGATGAGTAGGAGCATCGGCTTGAAAGTGCTTCAATTTGAACTTCGAGTCATCCAAGTCTTTTTCTGAAAAATCAAGAGGGTAGTATTTCTCAGCAAGATCACAAATAACACACATGTTGAAATCTTTATAACCATCTCGAGGATCCAAACTTGAGCTAAGCTTCAGAATTTCAAGTACTTTGTCATCGAACCTTGCTCGTATTTCCTCAATCTGCACATCAATGGCGGCATTGAACACATCAAAATGATAAAAGTGTTCATTTGTGATGCCATCTCGTCGTTGCCGAATTTCATAATGTGGAGCACTAAGATCAGGAACATTGATATCATGTTGTTGGCAAAACTTTGTGACTTTTGCTAACAAAGAATCCCAATCTTCATTCCTCATTTGGTTCAACAACTTTGTAGTAGTCTCCACTGCCCTCATTGCATTTACAATGTCTTGAGATTTACGTTGCAAAGCTTTGCAAAGCAATTGCAAAGCAAATGAGTGGTGCCTAGTATCTCCTTCATCATATGCAAAATGAAGATGAACTCAAATGATTCCATAGTTCTCAAAGTTGTACTAGCATCCCCCCTTGTTTTGTAGTGAGCACAATCATTGCTTATGTTCTCCAAAACCCGGCAACTTGGACCATACAAATGGATAAGGCTAGCAACAAAACTCAAATGTGAACTCCACCGAGTATCACAAGCTCGTTGTACATTCCGAATCTGATTGGCACCTTTTCCTGTCTCAATTTCACCTGATGCTAGCTTTTGTGCATAATAGTCTTCTTGAAACTCTTCTAACTCATCAAGACGCTTTGTGGAACCAGTAATAGCAGTCACAACTTTTGGTAACTTTGTGAAAAACTCATTTACCCTATCCACTTCTCTAGATGCTGCAAACAATGATAGTTGAAGACGATGAGCCATACAATGCACATAGTAGGCTTGAGGAAAATCTTTCAAAAAGAGTGAATTCAATCCTTCAATTCACCACGCATGTTACTAGCACCGTCATATCCTTGTCCACGAAGATTCTGAAGGGAAAAATTATGAGAAGTAAGAGTTGAACAGATAGCAGAGTGCAAAGTCTTTGATGTGGTGTCTTTGACATGCACAAGATTAAGGAAGCGCTCTTGAATCAATCATTTAGCATCAACAAAGCGAAGAACGATGGCCATCTGTTCATGTCTGCCTTCATCCCTTGCCTCATCCACAATTATTGAAAATTTAGAAACCCCAATGTCATCAAAGATCTGCTTTCTGATCTTCTTGGACAAAACATGCAAGATTTGCTTCTGAACCTCATGTGATGTGTACTTTGCATTCTTTGGAGCATTCTCCAACACAACACTATCTACTTCTTTATTTTAGATACGGGTGTATTTGAGAAGCTGAATAAAGTTCCCAAGATTCTTTGAATCAACAGTCTCATCTCGACCTCGGAAGGCAACCCCTTGCAATGGGGACTAGATAGTGTAACAACACTTTTTATGTTGTTATTGTAACAACACTAGTCCCCAACCAATAGGAAGCTAGGATTGTGATGACTTTTTATAAGATGAGTTGACCTAGTGTAAAATCAAAACAGGGGTATAATTGTCATTATGAAAAATCTATTTAAATAAAAAAATAAAAAATATTTATTTATTTTCTGCCCAAAAATTTGGTTCCCGGAATTCGGTCACCGGTCGCCGGAATCTGGTCGCCGGTCACCGGAATATGCTTTTTTGTCGCCGGAATATGCTATTTTGGCATCGGAATATGCTCACCGTCGCCGGAATATGCTTACCGGCGTCGGAATATGCTTACCGGCATCGGAATCTAGTCACCGGGGCCGGAATATGCTTATCGGCGCCGGAATCCGGTCACTGACGGTCATCGGAGTTTGGTCAACGACCACCGGATGTATGGTCTACATTGTGAGATTTATGGTTTGGTTTCACACATTTTTGTATGCCTTTTGTGGTTTGTTTTATTGTGTTTGTGGTTTGCATTGAGAAGTTTCTAGTTTGCTTTATCGTGTTTATGGTTTGCATTGAGAAGTTTCTGGTTTGCTTTCAAAAAATTTGTGTTTTGCATTGTGGGGGTTTTGGTTTGTTTTAGGAGATTTGTGGTATGCATTAGGAGGTTTCTGGTTTGTTTTTGTGGTTTGCTTTAACGTGTTTGTGGTTTGTATTATGAGGTTTCTAGTGTGTTTTTGAAAATTTTGTGGTTTGTTTCGTGAGGTTTCTGGTTTGTTTTAGGAGATTTGTGGTATGCATTAGGAGGTTTCTGGTTTGCATTACGAAGTTTCTGGTGTGATTTCAAAATTTTTGTGGTTTGCTTTGCGAGGTTTCTGGTTTGTTTTAATATATTTGTGGTTTGCTTTGCGAGGTTTCTGGTTTGTTTTAATATATTTGTGATTTGCATTAGGACGTTTATGGTTTGTTTTTGTAGTTTGCTTTTCCGTGTTGGTGGTTTGCATTATGAGGTTTCTGGTGTACTTTCAAAAAAATTGTGGTTTGCTTTGTGGCGTTCTGGTATGTTTTAGTGGATTTGTGGTATGCATTATGGTGTTTTTTGTATGCTTTTTATTGTTTTTTTTTTTTTTGCTTTTGTGGTTTGCATTAGGAGGTATTTGGTGTGTTTTAGAAATAGTTGGGGTTTGCTTTATCGTGTTTTCTGATATGTTTTAGGTGATTTATGGTATGTATTAGGTGGTTTATAGTAGTATGCTTTGTAATGTTTCTGTTATATTTCATGAGAGTTATGGTAGCCAGAGCTTATGATTCTGATTTGCTTTTATGAATTGAAATTTCATATTTCACTCTCAATCTAGCTTTAATATTTAGTGTTAGTTCTCAAATTATATATATACACGAAACACAACCAAGCTTGACCATTACAACCATTTAATACCATAGGATCACTATGTTACTCAGCTTTGAGAATTACAACTCTTCGTCCCTAGCATCATGCATTCCACCAATAGAAGTATTGGGATCATTCATCCAAGCTAGGCAAATACAAGAATCTCAAGATGGGGAACTCCATTAGTTGGATCTTGCAACGGCGACCCGATTGATGGAGTAAATGGTAAAATAGTAGCTAAGGGATGGTAGCTCGGATGACAGTGAGGGCTTTGAGAACAGTAAATTTAATGATTTCGTCGGAGATGTAAGCTTTTCGAGGTTGAGATATTACCAGTAGATCTGCAATTAGAAGAGGATCTGTTCTCTCCATGGCAGCTCTCTCAATCTCTGACCGAGACCGGCCTTAATAAGGGATTGTTGTCGCAGGCTGAATTCGGATCCATAGATCGAAAATTGACGGACGAAGGGGAGGTTGGAATCGGACAGGACGTTTTCGAGCTCGTTGCTGCCGCAGTGGGGCGGCTCTGCAGGCGGCGGCGGGGGAGATTTGGGGGAAGGGAGCGGGTCCGGGTGGAGGTGAGAGTCGACCAAGGGTTGTGTGAGGTCGGCGGCGGCTCCGTTTGGAGGTGCCATTTGGTATAGAATTAATTAATGTTGGTTTTTTAGGGGCGGTGGTGAGGATAGAGTTTTCAGGCGGCCGTTTGGAGGTCAACAAAATCGATGGCTCATGCTCCGGACAGGACGACGACGATGATTCTGTATACGTGTGTGGTGAATCGTTGTTGTTGCGGTTGTTCCCCTGCGTCCAGATGCTCTGTTTTGCAGGCCACCGACGAGCTAAAGATGTACGCCGGCGAACAGGAAGGGGAGGAGGATTGGCAACCTCGACGGCGGAAGAAAGAAGGAATGGCGGGGGATGAGATTCGTAGTCGCATTCATGCCGGCAGCGGAGGAGAGCGTACGGGATATCGAGAGAGGGCTGGGCGGCTATGACTTGAAAATACTTTTTTTTTAATTTTGTTGTAGTTTCCGTTTTTACCGTTATTGTTACTGTAACAACACTATAGGTGTTGTTATAGTATCCGTAGCCCTTGCAATGCTAGATAATGAACAACATCTATTGAGGTTTTCACTTGAGTTATATTCTTCTTTACTTCGTCTGAAGTTTGCTTCTTCATGGCTTTATCGATGTGTCCAGGCTGATGCATTAAAGCATGGGAGTTCCTCACAGCATTGTTGTGATGAGAATTTGGACTTTCCCCAATATGCTTCCTGAAAGAACAATCAACCCCACTTTTAACCTTTTTCCAATTCTGAAAGCCCTCATTTGAAAATGTATTTCTCCCAAATTGAGCATTAGGCTTTTCTGTGAAAAGATAGCATGGAAGATAGTATGCATCATCCTTCGCTTCTGAATATTCAAGCCAAGAAAACTCAGAGTACCATGGCTTTATCATAACCAAACCGTCCAAAGTAATACAACAACCAAATTAACCAAATTAAAGTTTAATCGGTTTGATTAATTGGTTACCAGATTAACCAATATAAAATGACATTATCATTAAGTGAGAAAATTTCGGTTAATTTATCAATTCACAATTTATATAATGAATAAAACATAACTATCAACACATAGTTATAGTTGACCCTTAACATAAATACATGCAACTAAGACAATTATCTTACGGTTAGTAAAAAAATATTCACCTAATAAAAATTTATCACAATGGTATGGGTTAATGTATTTTTGTGTTTGCTTGAATTGACTTAGTCTTTTAGCAATTTTCATAGGCTGAAAAGGACCTTGCTTTCAAGTTTTCATCCAACATAAAATATGAGATTTATCTAAATTAGGCGTTCATATGTTGTGGTCTACACTCTACATATACAAATATACATTATAGGAGCAATATCACGCTTTATATTTTATGAGTCTAAAAGGGATGAACGTTTAACTCTTGAGTGGTTATTCAAAGTATTAAGTATGCGTATATATTAGATATATGGCTAATTATTTATCTGGTTAATTTGGTTTGGCTGGTTAGGAGTGTCTGAAACCAAACCAAACCACCTAAACCAAACAAGCTAAAAACTTTAACCAAACCAAAACAAATATCCAAATTAACCAAACCAAATAGTCCTGATTAAAACGGTTACCATGGTAACCACACCATTTGAACACCCCTAGAGATCACGTGGGAGATTGTGGGGGGTTAACAAAATGAATTAAAAAAAAATAAGGCAGTCAATTCTTTATCTAAAATGAATGAGTGAGGTGTGGGTCGAACCATCGACCTCAAAACCTTTGGCATTTGGAATTCTATCAACCTACAAAGCACCACTAGCACCACTACACCACTAGAGTGGGGATTAGTGTACCATCATGTCTCTTGATACCCCTCCTAGCCAAGTCGGGCGGCCCATTGTCACCTCGACAAGTTTTCCTAACTAGAGATAGAAACTACCTCTATATGAGTTTAACTCATCCACACACAAGCTTAATGAGTCAATTTTCATGCACTCAACTCGCGAGTATCTTGTTGCTGAGCTCCTGTAATTGGTAGGGGATGGTCACCTCATCCACCAACTAGGAATCTCAATCAACTATGATACATTCATTCATATACAATCAAGAAATAAACTAAGGCAAACTTAGGGCTAATTCATGCCATCTACTCAATCATGCATCCATACCATAACTAGAAGCATTAAACACACTAGATAAATACAGACAAACCATAAATTATCGTTAACATTCATCTAGGGTTTGGGGGCCCAACCCCAAGTACCTTATACACTAACATGAAGGAGAGATAAAGTATAATAGGAAGAATGGAAGAAAACATTAGAAAATGATCTTCACTTGGCTAAAAAATCCCCCTCCTACTCCTCATTCTTCCCTTCTTCTGAAACTAGTATATATATATATATATAGATGAAGCAGAATAGTAACCGAAGGTATTTTAGGTCTCGCTAACTTGATTACACTTACATTTATTTTACTGTAATATGTATTTTAAATGCAAATAATTCAAATATATGCATCTAATTTTAAAATAATTGTTTGGATGCTCATTAGTATAATTGGGAGATATTTAAGATTTTATTACTTTTTTATTTTATTTTGAATTTTTTATTATATATTAAAATTTTGGAAATTTACATTATAGTACTCAATTTCTTTTTACAATTTAGTACCTAGTCTTTCCATTCAAAGTTTGATCTCATGGTCCAAAATTTAATTTAATTTGTTCATTGATACATAGGTGAGATCATGGTTCCTTGGCCATGTTATGGGTTTCCAACCTGAAGCAGGTGTTAGCAATTGGCGAACTTGTTTGTGGATCTCTGGCTCTTCATACAGCCAGTATTCGTTCTTCATAGTATTTTGTAGAGCCGAGAAAATAGATTAGATCGTTTGAAAAATCATGAATCAAATCAGACCGCACAATTTGGTCCATATCGTAAACCTTCAATAATGCTTTGATTTGGTCCATGATCTGTATTATATGATGGTTTGGTCTCTTCGACTAGTCTTGTCTAGACCGTGGTTTACCAAACAAACCATGGACCCAACCTGCTTTCCCATACGTGTTAGCAATCAACTCGACCACTCTCCCAACTCCCCAATAAGACCTAAGTCTCAATCCTTATTAAGAATCATGTCTCCTCCTTCATTCACAACCACATTTCACCATAGATTAGTTATCATGTCTCAATATGACATTATGTTCATGTTTATGACGTTATGGTACAAGTTAAGATGATTCACTTTATATCTTTTTTATTTGCTGAGATTTGGGGTGTCAAAATTGTTCATGCATGTTGGACTTTATCTTTTAAGGATAAAACAATTTTTTACTCAATTATTGTTTCAAGTTTTTGTGTCGTTGAATCAACAAATATAATTTTTAATTTTCGTTCAATGTGGTCTATCTGGACCAGACCGCACATGCATGATCTGGTCTGAACCGTATAATATGTGGTATGATCTCTGGTTTATAGTCAAGCCAATCCATCTAGATCATAAACCGTATAAATGATTCGATCTGGACCATACCGCACCATTTTCTAGCCCTAGTATTTTGACATGAAAATTGATGAGATCACATGAAAAGACATCAAATATGTAAAAAAATTATAAGGGCTATTAATTGCACATTGGACAATACAAAGCATTTCCATAAAAAAAAAGTGGCTATAGATGTACCCAAAAAGGTGCAAATCGTACCAACAAGAAGATATAGAAATAATATATTTTACGGGTTATTATCTAGTATTATGAGTTATTTCAGCTTCATAAGACTACACCTGTGACAATTATATGAGTCAACTAATAAGGGTCAATTACCCCAGTAAAGCTCCTTACTAAAAAAAAGGAAAAAAATAGTCAAGAAAAATTGAAAAAGAGTGTTGGCTGAAAGAAAAAGTACTTAAAAGGTATGTTTAAAAGATGGTAAAAGTATTTCAAGTTCTTAATCGGTTTCAAAAATTTTGCCCTATGTGTTTTGAGACTCATGCGTGTTTGGTGATTTATAATTGAGATGAGTACATTTTTGTTTATGCATGTTAATACTTAATATGATTAGAGTACTCTCTAGTGCTATTGTTGACCTTGTAAGTTTACTTATGATCCACTACCTAAGATCGATGGTTGGACGTCATTTTTAGTTTTTATTGAGTTGTATGATTGGAGTAGTGTTTTCTTGGGAAAAACAAAATTCTATTGTGGGGTACTTATGATGAAACTCAAATTATATTGTTTATCAGTCTCATATTTGATACATTTTTTTTTCCTTATACCAATGCATCTTTAGTGTATTTTGCCATTTTTGAGGTAGAAATCATGACTATGCGATCAATGTGCTTTAAATAGACACAGGATGTATTTTTTTAAATATTTTATGCCTTTTGGTATTGGTTTGTGCTTTCAAGGTTAAACACATTCTAGAAATAACTTGGATCAATGAATGGATCAAATTGGAGAATTAGGAGGGATATTTACTATGAATCATGGTGGTTTATCTCCGAAACGAGGTACATAAACGAGGGCATGAAGTCGTCATAAAAGTCCAGAAGGAGTCCACTGGAGAAATTTGATCCCAACTTCACAAGTAAATCAAATGCAACCTTACGATGAGGGTAGCCGCTATTATGTCAGACCCATCAAGTCGTGGTGAATTTTGGAGGAGTTACTTGTTGGCAAAGCAGCCCAATCGAGAAGAGAAACCCACAGTGAGTTTGCCCGCTTCTGTGCCGTCGCAAGAGCAAACCTAAGGGAATCTTAGAAATATCTTGTCTTCGTCCTCAATACAAGAAATCCGAGTCTCATTGGTATTAAGAAGCCTTTGAACTTGTTTTAGGAGGAAAAAGACCCAAAAATCCTTAGTTCGTTCACTATAGACAGAGGGCCGGGTTAACATATTGAGTAGGCTGTAGACACACATTAAACTTACTTTGTCCAACTAGAGCAATGAGCTTCACGGCTTGGGGGAAGCCAACTTAGCATTCATATGATGGTGCAGCTAAAGAGATGCCTCCATCATCTGTGGCGATATCATCCTTCTCTTCTATGTATTATTAGTTCAACTTCGTTGGATGTGAATTCTATTGATGCTTATAGCATCTTCTTTATATGATATTATGATGAGCTTTTATTCATTGTTATCTATATTAGTTTATGCTAGTTTCATTAGATGCCCTAGTCATGAGATGGTTATGCCATTATATTCTATGTCATGTGATGCTTATGATATTTTAATACCTTAGTTATACAATGCTTTAATCAGGTGATGCATGCATCATCTATTAGGTTCTATTATAGTTTTGCTTATAATATCATTGCATGTTGCAGGGGAAACTGAACTTATATGATGATTATTGTCTTGGGCAAGTATTTAATGATTATATCACCCATCTATTCTTGATTATGTGCCATGCTTGATACCTTAAATCATTAATGCCATAGGCCATTACTATGGTTCATAGAGGCC